GAATTGAGGCGCGTAATGAATAATGATACTGTTCTGTGAGGATGTGCTGTTTTCTCTTTTTTTCCCCATCCCATCGAGACCGCTATGTCCGAGACCAAGACAAGACCGATACCAAATAGGGTCGAGATCAAGACAAGACCGAGACCAAATAGAGTCGAGACCAAGACAAGACCGATACCACAAACAATTGGTCTCAAGACCAGTCTCGAGAACTACAGCACTACATTGCAGGCAATCTTTCTTTCCATTCCTGTTTTGCTCCAGCTTTTCTGGAGTCTCAACACATGGCAAGGATGGAAAATGGTTGACCTCGGTTCATCTAGCATTCTTCAGACTCTTTGCTGGCTAGACCTTCTCTTGAGATTTAGATTTCAAATATTCACAGCAAGCTTGGAGGATGTGCTGGGTGTCCAGTAGTTTTCAAATTTTACTTTGAGCCTCTGTTTCCATGCATAGCTCTGTTACGGCGGGCAGGTCACAAAAAGGACAACACTGGTGAAGATCAAATGCTTTATTTTCCTTTAAAAAAAAAATCCAATTCTTCATCCAAGAGCATGGTTGTAATATGTGTGAGGCATTAGCAGAACTCAGAGTTGGTGTACTGGCCAGAGGTCAAGCAATGGGCGTAGACAGTCATTAGGTTAGACAGAACTCAGATTAAGAAAGGATGGATTCAGGATCAAAATAAACACTGGCAGACAGGCAGACACGAAAAAGGTACATGGGAGATAATGCTTAAACAGGCTAAGAAACTGTCATGTCTGGTCAACCTGCTAGATGTGTATAAGTAGGTAAGACAATTAGTTCAATTGCACACATCTGAGAAGGGCCCCAATTTGTTCAGCCAGTTAAACAGCAGAAAATAGACTTCCCTAATAGTCTTCCAACTTGGGATTTCACGGGGGCATGGTGTCGACATGAGCAGCCTCTGCATGATGTCATTAGGGCTTCTCTTGAGTGATTCATGACAGTACTCCCCCGATGAACGTCACACAGCGGATGATCCAGCCTCCTGGGACGACTGTGATGGAAGTCAGAGTTAAGAGAGGGGTCCACCTCCTTGGTATGCAGGACCACTCCTTCCGGCCATAACCCTCCCAGGCCACTAGATACTGTAGGCCACGACCACAGTGACATACATCCAGCAAACGATGGACCTTGTACACCTCACCTCCCTTGATCAACCTGGGATGCAGAATGGACAATGCAAAAGAGGCCAGGGGACTGACCAAATGGGGTTGAGGAGGGACACATGAAACATGCGGTGGATTTGACACATGGTGGCTGGTAAATGTAGATGAATTGCCAAGGGACTGACTACCTTGGTAATGGAGTCCTGGTTCAGTCCCATGGAGGGGTGACATTGTGAATGGGACCTACGAACTGTATCATCATGGGTGCAGCCTTCATGGCCTCCCGACATAGGCCATAGTGGAGAAAAGACTTATTGATGGACTTTGGCCACCCTTCACAGGTCAATGTGGATAACAGACTCATTGATGGACTTTGTCTTGATTCTTAATCACAGCTTATACCTACTTTTTAGCATGAGAGTCCACTGTTTTCTGTTTTCAGTAATATTAGTATGCCCAGGGGGGTTGGGTAGCCAGTTGGACCCCCAGAGTTTTTTTTCTCCTTACTTGGGATTTTTTATTTCCTCTCCTCCATTGTCTTCTGGCTTTCTTTAATTTCTTTCCTTCCTTTTTCCCATTCTGTATTTCTCTCTAATGATGTTTTATGTATCACAACACATCCATGTAAAATGCTTTGGGATGACAGCGGCGGGGAAACCAATGGGCCCGAGACCTCTTCCTCCAATGCAGGAAACAACAGAGGCTGATAGCTCATGCAATACTGGAAAGGGGACAACCCTGCAAATGACATGGGCACCCAAGGGAGGAAAACATTGCAGGATTCAGGCGAGTAGGAGGCTAAGCATCACAGCATTCATTCCAGGTTCTGGTTAGCCCTTATGGTCTAGCCAGTGGACTGCAGGTAGAACCCTGAGAACACACGCTTGCTTAAGCACCAATATACCTGCAGAACTCCCATCAGAAGATAAATTGTGCCCCTCTTTCAGAGACTACGTTGAACAGCAGTGAAGCTTGAAGACGTGGTCAATGAGCAAGTGTGCTGACTTCTTCACAGAGGCAAAGTTTGGTAACCGAAACAAGTTGAAGAGTTTTTGAGAAGCAGTCAATGACTGTGAGTACATCGGTGAATCCCCTGGATGATAGAAGGCCAGTAACAAAATCTAAAGTCACATGGGACTAGTGATGATAGGTCGTAACAGCCCGGTTGGAGTACAAGTTACAAAAACATGGATGTCCTGAAGCATAGAGAACCAGCAGAAATGCTGTGTGAGCAGAGCTCGGGTATGATGAACCCTGGGGTGGCCAGCTAAAAGAGTGGGGTTTCCCCACTGGAGGACCTGCAAAGTTCAGAAGAAATAGCTAGTTATAAGCATTATACTGCCTGTACAACTGCCTCTATACCACACAAAACTGCCCCAATTAAACATAATGGTAGAATTGGGGTTCTTATTATCTTTTTCCTCCCCAATCATGTATGATAGGACATCGGGCTTATGATTCTTGGAGCCTGCCTTGAAAGAAATCTGAAAAATAAATTGGTCAAAAAATAACAAACACCTAGCCTGGCATGCATTAAAGTGCTTTTCAGACTGCAACCGCTCTTCTAAGGCTTGTCTGACCACCAGCAATTCATTATTACCAATAGTTTCTCTCAGCCAGCATCAATTTATGAGAAAAAAAGGAGCAGGGTTATAATTTATTTTCTGCTGGTAGAGAATATCTCAAAGGATATCAATAATCAAATCTTGGAATACTGTTGGAGCATTAGTCAAACCAAAAGGTATGACTAAATACTCATAGTGACCAAGGGGCATGTAAAATCTGTATTCCATTCGTCCCCTTCTCAGATCCTAACCAATTGGTCAGCACTCCACAGTTCTAGCTTAGTAAACCACTCAGCTCCCTGAAGCAGATCAAAGACCAAGGACAATGGGAGTAGGGGGTATTGGTTCTTAACGGTGATCTGGTTTAATCCATCATAGTCAATGTGGGACCCAGCGTTGTTCTCAACAAAGAAGAAACTGGCACCTGGTGGAGACGAGGAAGGCTGAATAACATTGGGCGACAATCCACTTGCTAATGTACTCATCCATCGGCTCTAGGTGGACAGATTGCTGGCAGCAGATTGATTGGCAGAATCAATGGGGGCCACTAGAGGTTACCTGATGGTGCCATGGAAAAGCAGCATGGGTAAGTAGATTCGAGCTGAGGAGGGAATAATCTGGGCTACACCCACCTGATATGGACTGACTGCCCTAACAAAGCTGGAGGAACTAGTGTGCTACCTGTCTGCCATGCTTAGAGCAGTCAAAAACTCGCTTCATCTCCTCAAATCTGGGGATATCCACACAAAATGATGCCCTCTAGGTAATTAAGCAGACAATCAATTAAGTTTTTTTGTTTCAATTTAGATTACTAATCAGAATTATCAGAACTGATTAGGTCTGATATTTTTTCCTGGACAAATAGGTGGGGGGGGACTATTTATCATAAATGCCCTTGTGATATTCTAAGCAAGACCCACCACAAGCGGAAACTTCCAAATACACTGCAAAGCAGAAAGAAACAGATTGGCAGCTTCTCCCCTGAAGCTGAAAGTAAAAACATTCTTTCATGTTTAATTAGCCATAAAATTGTTCAGTACAGTTCAGTTTTTTTCTTCTTCTCCATATGTATGTTAACATCACAATGAGATGCATTGGACAACAGGATTAACAGGAAAACAATTCTCTCAGCACAGCAGGATAAAAAGTTGCGATAAAATTAAGAACTTAAAAAGTGTCAGCTATATCATCATGCGGAAGTTAAGTATGCCCAACATTAAAATAAATTGATTACCCTTAAACTTATACACTATTTTATAATTTCAGGGCAGAGTATGCATGCTATAATTAGCTGCGCTTCGTAACATAAATCATCTTGGGGGAAAAAAAAGTACCGATGTTTCAAATCATAGTGTTGTCTGGAGTAATTCTCTCTAGGTTACTAAAAATTATTTTTGTTTTCTCCGGGAGCTTTGGCGTCAGCTCAGGAGGTTATGGTGTTGGTTCAAGAAGCTACCGTGACAGCTCGAGGTAAACTCAGATGAATACAGTAAAAAAATATTTACAGCAATCCACTAATTCAGAAACTTTAAATACACGGTAAATTACTGGCAAAGCTGCAGTGGCTGTAAACAGGCTATTTAGATAAGCATGAGCACTTAAATTACGACTTGAGTGAGAACAAAGACAGTTTAGCATGCAAAGTTTGGATGACTCTTGGATGACTCTTTTTTTCCTTACCAGTATCAACTTGCTTTTTCCAAGGCTCACTCCAGGCATGAAAACTCCCTGCCAGATCTGACTTCTTCTTCTTTTGTCTTTGTGAATGCGAGTAGAAACCAGCGATGAAGTGCATTACTGCCACCTAAATGTTAAAGTGCTCTTATCTTACTTAATGTAACAAAAGTGTCTTGATCAAAGGAATAATTTGTTTGATGTTCTGCTTCCAGTTTATATTGTGTCAATTTAAAAAATATTCAACCATGAACATAAATTAGAAAAGATGGTGCAACGTTTGTCACGGATCGACCCCGGGGATCCCCGACTGACGTCACGAAGATCACGCCTCCGGGGATTCCTTGATCCTACCTTCCCCGTTTTAACAAACCGTCAGCTCTACGCCGCTATACCGGGTTGTCTGGTTTCTCCGGTTCTCTTTGCATGCACCTACCGCAAGCTGTTGCAGATCATTTCTAGATTAGGGAGACTATTTTAGCCATCGGATCTTGCACCCTGATGCGAGATCTTCAAGAGTTACTTCTGAGTTCGAGCATTTTCCTGTTTTTGCCTCTCCGTGTTCTCTGACCGTTGTTCTGCCATTTTGACCCCGAGTTTCTGTCCAGCCCCTTTGATGCCCGACGTGAATCGCCTGACCTCCGCCTGTACCCCGACTACGAGACCTGCCCAGCCCCCAAGACCAACTCCGTACATCGCCCGACCCCAGCCTGTCCCACGACTACGATCCAGTCTGCTCCTTTTGTTTATTTCTGAGCGATACGTTCACCAGTAAACCTTCTGGTCTTCAGACAGTTTTCGCTTTATTTGTAAAAGTCACTTGCACCTGATTCCGCGACAGCGTCCTCTTTGCCCCCTACCTAAACCGTCACAACGTTTCCATTATAAAAATGAAGAGGCAAGTGTATCACGTCAGGCTAGCAAAGTACGACCCAGAGGCAGACTAGTTTACATTTCCCCGAGCTGGGGCGTTTATTGAGACATACAATTCAATTCAATCCATTTATTGTCATGTGTACAAGTACGAGTACTGTGTACAATGAAATGCTTGCATTTACAAAGAAGGGTGATACTGAGATCTCGACTGCAGCAAATGGGGCAGGTCTGGCTCAAAAACGGTGGTTTTAATGCGCAAGATGTCACGCAGGTGGGAGTCAGTCTTGTCCTCACACGGTTCTTATTCATGTTCATAATTGAGAATGTCTTCTCGCACAAGTATGTCGAGCCAAACAAGCTCAACATTTTCTTAGCAAATGTTAGAATCTCTTGGAACCTGATTTTATCCAGCTGCTGGTAAAAGTTGACAAGAGGGAGTTGTTGGTGCCGGCTGCGACACTCCGAGTCACACTGCAGCTCCAACTGCAGGTGGGCTGGAACGTCACTGGGATCCACGGAAAAAGGTGAGGAAAAAAGTGTGATCTCCTTTTCAATAGTAGCGAAATCCCTGAAACGCTGTTGAAACTCCTCAGCCAGAGATGAGATGTTTGAGGCATACCTCCTCATTTGCGCACTGATATTGTGCGCTGGAAAACAGGTCATTATTTCTTGCAGAGATTGGAAGTGTGTGGTATTGGGCTGCGTTTGTGATAGGTGGCTTTGGAAAAGTAGCAGCTTGGTCCAAAAGGCTTTGATATGTGAATACAGTTGGCTTATCACTGCATTTTGCCCCTGAAGGCTCGTGTTCAGGAGGTTCAGATGTTGGGTTATGTCAACTAAAAATCCAAAATCAGCCAGCCAAACAGGATCGGTTAGTTCTGGCATCGGTTGTCCATTTTTTGCCAAGAATTGTCCAATTTCCTCTTTAAGAGAGTAGAAACGCTGCAGTGCAGATCCCCGACTGAGCCATCTTACATCAGTGTGATACACAACATCTCCGTATTCAGTGTGGATGTCCAGTAGAAATAGCTGAAACTGGCGGTGGCACAGGGCTTTGGAGCGAATATAATTAATTGCCTTTATCACCGGTTTCATAACGTGATCATATTTCAGATGTTTGGCACATAGAACTTGTTGGTGAATAATACAATGGAGTTTTATAGCTTTACCTCCTTCTTCGCCGACACTAGGGTTGATAATCTACTGTGCTCGCCAACCATGGCAGGTGCGCCATCCGTAATAATCCCTGTGATTTTATTCCACCGTAGTTTTATGTCATTTACGGCGGAACAAACAGAAGCAAATAAATCTGTCCCTCTTGTTTGGTCCTTAAGGCTCTGGAGGTCAAGTAGCTCTTCACTCACGTTCATTTCACTGTCCACTCCTCTGAAAAAAATCAGTAACTGAGCGGTGTCGGATGCATCCGTGCTTTCGTTGCAGGCTAACGAAAAAAATTCAAACTCCACTCCTTTTGCCTCCAACTGTCTCTTAATATCAGATGAAACTTCTTCTTATCCTTCGTGACACAGTGTTACGAGCCAGGCAAACATTGGCGAACTGTTGCTTTTTCTCAGGACAAATGTTATCCAGCATTTTCATCACACAAATTTAATAAATTCACCCTCAGTAAAAGGTTTGCAGTGCTCATCTTCTATGTGTCATACGATCATGACTTTAGAATAGCAGAATAAGCTTTGGAATTGCTTTCAATCCTTAGATGACATGTGATCACCAGTTAATGGTCACAAGCCTGGATGCACGGTGGCCAGGCTCAGCACATGACTCCTGCATTTTTAGGGAGTCCATTCTCTGTCAAAGATTTGAAGAAGGTAAGGGAATCAGTATCCTAGAGATTTTGTTACACAAACTTGCGTGTGACAGTTGCTCTCCATTTCTTCAAATGGCGTTTTGATGGCCTGTTGCTGGGGGACCCGCGATACCCATGCCTCGCCCGTCCAGCCCAGCTCGCCCGTCCTGACTGCCTCTTCGGTGGCACTGCCTGCTGCCTCATTAGAGGTCCTGACTCCTGTCCTCCCAGCACTGGCCCATGTCCCCGAGGAGGTCCCGGACAATCGGGCCCCCGCTCCTTTCACCTCGTTGGAGGAGGAGCTTGAGGGGAACCCCTCGGGGACCTCCCTCATGACTCCTTCACCCTTGCCTCAGCGAGGCCGACACCCCTCAGGACTCCGCCTTTCTGTGTCCTGTAAGGGGAGGGGACACAAGCGTCGGGCACGGGTCCCGCCCGCCCTGCCCTCTGGCTCGCCCGTTCGGCCCCTGGCTGTGGCTCGGTGGCTGCCTGCAGGTCCTCTGGCTCTGGGTCGGCAGTCTCCTCCGGGTCCCCCCCTGGTTCCTCGGTGCCGGTCCTCGGTCCCGCCTCCGGCCCCGTGTTGGCCGCCTCCGGGCCCCCCTGCTTCGGTTTGGCGTTGGACGGCGCCTTCCCCGGCTCTGCCTTCGCCTGCCGCGGCTTCCCTCTCCTGCCTGCCTGCACCGGTGTTCCCTCCGGCTCCCTCCGTGTCTCCTCTGTCACTCCCTCAACCCGTTCCCTTGGCCCCTGTGTGGTCCCCTTCTGCTCCCTCCTCCCTCTCGCCTGCGGCCCCTCCGGCCGCTGCCCGTCGCCCATCTGGGTTCCTTCGTGCTCCCCTGGTTCCTCCTCCCTTTGCCTTTCTCCCTCCTGTCTCTGCTCCTCCTCCTCCTGTGGGTCCTTTGTTCACTCCTGGCCCTTTTGTTCCGCCTTTAGGTGTTCCCTCTGTGCCCCCAGTGTCTCCCTTCCTGGTCTGTCTGTCCGCGTTCCCCGTCTTTTGTCAGGTTTTGTCTTACTTTGTGCCCCTCTGCTTGTTCTGCGCCTCTGTCCTGTTCCCGGTGTGCGAGCCTTTG